TTACTCTCAGAAATACTTTCTCCTTTATAGTGCCTCTTTCTTTATGTCATACTTGTTCCTACATGGGCACATGGCCGAGTGTTTAAAATGTTCGATTTCCGACCATGTGACCTGGATTTGTTTGGGTAGGAAGGTGATGTTCTCGGCCTGGGGAGGTGATCCTAGCGTGCAGAACCTTTACAAAGTACCTGAAAACCATACTACGGGTTGACCCGACACTTATGATTGAAAGTGGTATTATTTGGGAGTCGTCAGTAGCTCTGCTAGCACGAAGTCACAAGTCATCGTGACCGAGAGTTTGAGCGTGCTGGCCTTGTTTACACTGTTGATAACGATGGATAATGCGCTCTCTCCCAGAAACTATATTTAAGGTTCGCTCAGAATAGTTGAGCCCTGTGGGTGTTGAACAAGAAAAGTTTTATTGTCTTCGATACGTCTCGTGAGTATTAAATTTTCTAAGTCAATCGTTATTCGTCCCAAGAATTTCAACACTATTTGTCAGCCATTATTTATTTGTATTTACTATTTTCTTTGAAACCTCTTTATTTGTCACATGTAGTGTCCATGGCATACTGAACATTCGACAGTAAAACAGTATCTTTGTATCGAAGTTTAGGTTAGATATTCCGTATCGATCAAGCATTCTTTTAGCTTCTAATGTTATTTTTCAATCTTTTGAACTCTCTGACTGAAAATGATCTTTCACTATTCGGATGTGTGACGCTTTTCATCATCCTTTATTACAATGTCCAATATTATAGGACTTCAGATTTAAACAAGTGACTTGTTTAAATCTGACGTATTTGATTCCTACGATAATCTGCCCGCACATGATATCAGCGGCTGATATATCCGTCTAATTACGGCCAGTGAGGACATCCAATCGTTTATATCTTTTCTGTCGGGTTGAAATTACATGAAGCAAACCAACAAGCAGTTTGAGCAGAAAAGATAATTAAAAGTTAAAAGGATACACGGATAGAATATGCTGTAAATTTGAAACTTTTTTTTTAAATTTTAAAAGGTTTTAAATTGGACATTCTTATAATCTAATGAAAACCAACTACGGTCTTCTGCTCGTGTTATATATTTAGAGAGTCTTTATAAAATCCAAAGAATAATCTTTTTTAATAGTCACTCATTTAAAGCCACTCAATGTAGAAGCACAGTTTATGCGGATATGTATGGAAGATAACGGTTAACATTAGACTTGAACAGGTTAAGATTGAGCAACCTCTTGGGAGTTGGTTTCACAAGGCAGTGGTTCTTAGGAAGATGCTTGAGTAGAACTTACATCTCAGCAGGGGAATACAAAGCGAATGAGTTCGCTACAATGTGCATAATGTTATTGGTCTTTACCTGGCATCTCGCTTTCAGACATTTTCCTACTGCCGTATTGTAGCTTTCCTGTGCCTTTTCTATGAATACTTTCAGAGTAATTGTTCGGATTAACTTTTCTCTATGGTGCCTAGACTTTAATAATTTAATCACAGTACTAGATTGGCGGCAAGGTCTCATCCTTTTTACAGTTGATATCATCATCATAATCATCAGTCCCTTGACTGCTTCAATCGATGTGGAGACCTAGGGGTAATGTTTCAGGCTCCTTACCGCTGCTTCTACATACTCCTTCAGTATTGGCGGACTGTCTTCGCATTCTGTGGGATACTGGTCGGCTTGCAGGTATCTGGATGGAGCACGTTGTAGTATTCGACCCACCTACTCAGAACTTTCATTCTCTCTCAGTAGCTTGCCAGGTTTGCCATTTATGACAGCTGCTCTTGGCTGACTGTTCTTGGTGATGGATTTGAGGGTATTGTAGGCCTTCCTGCTGTCACTTGATTTTATGCCTTTCTCAAGTGACACTGCACTGCCCTTCTATTCCCCTCACTTTAGCTGCTCGTATTTTCTTCCTGACTTCCCTGTGTACGTTTTGCTACTGCGTCCAAATTCAATCCATTGGGTGCTTCATTCCGCTTAGCTCTCGTCTCTTGTTACACAAATTCGGGAATTTTCTTCCGTGGCTTTCCCAGAAACTCTTCAGTTTTTTTCTGAGTGGGTTTTTTTTTTATGTCGAATACGAGAGTGTCAATCTCACTGTCACGCGGTTGAGGGTTGAAAACTTGCCGCCGACTAGGGCGGGAAAAACCTCTGCAACTTCAGGATCCGTCAGCATCTCAGAGTCAAAACGTCTTCAAATGGCTAGATGTTAAATGTATGTTCTATGCTAACAGTTTTCTCTGTCGCACTTCTCTCTTGTGAGACTCTCTTGCGGCGTCTTGCTTCCCAGTCATCTTTAATATTCAAAAATGTAAATGCAATGCTAATCGTTATCTTCCTAATTCTTGTTCTTTTATTGTTCTTTCTCCTCGATAGTGTTTTCTTTTTTTTTTTTTTTTCGCATATTCTCTCAGACTCATTAACCCCTTGCATCTTAGAGGCTTTATTGCCTTGCTTGGGGTGAAATGATTTCTTTTTTAAAGTTAGGATAGGTGAAAGAAAGATTTTAAAAAGAAATACATGGAGTTGACTTAAATGAAGAAGGACACATATTTGGGGTATTTATAAAAACTATGCTAAGTCAATTTTATAAGATTTGTTATATTTGTATGCAAACTTCAAACGCAGTAGATATTTTCCTATAATAGTTGCTGCATACATAAGGCGAGCTTTTATAAATTTCCAATTCTAATTGGAACATTTATCAATACGCGTCAAAAGAAAAACAGAAAAATGCAACATCCGTTACATAACCAGGGTACTAAGCTTTACTAATATACGTTGCCAAAAATCAAATGAAAATGAGCAAATGTACCAAACATTACGGGATAGTAGTAATAATATATAAGTATCACTGGTAATATTATCAGGTAAAGATTTTCGAAATTAAAGAAAATCTAAAGAAGAACCTGCAATATTAGCGGTCCTGACCTGGCATCCCGGCTTTGATCACACTCTTTGTCTCATTTCTACGAATATTTTCATGACAATTATTCTAATGAACTTTTCTCTTTGGTACCTTGAATTAATGAATTCAAACGTAGTACTAGATTCGCAGTTAGGTCTCGTCATTTTACTGTTGAGATTACGAAATGTAACCGTAAGTTCTATTCTATTACTTTCTAAGAGATGGATTACAGACAAAAATATGCTCCAAATTGTATCTGATAAGCATAATTGTAGTTAGGTTACCACAACTTGTTCTTAATTAATCATCTATTTTGTGTCTATCAAAAAGCAAGATATTTAACCAAGCTTTTAACGTAATTAAACAATAAATATATGTCATAAATGAAATATATTAATAAAAGTTGGTTTACTAACTTTAGAAATAATTCATTAATGGTGTGATGTTGATTTAATGGTTAGAGACCTAAACTTGAAATCGTCGAGCCGAGTTCGAATTCAAGTCGAGTTCGTCACATTTACTTTCGCACAAATACCTATGGGGAACGTTTAAATCCATCTCGTCTCCCCCATGATCTCTTCTCCCAGGCCAGCTATGTTAAATAGAAGGGCAGACTGGAATTTCTAGCCGTGGTTGGTAACCAGTGTAGGAGAAGGATAACTCTGACTTTAAAACAGGATATAGCCCTGGTGTAGCACATACTATGCAGCTATGGAAAATATTATGGAGTCCAGGATTATCTGTGATGCTATGTTGTGCACTCCATAAGGCAATATTTTCATTATCGTTATCGGGGTCGGCTATGTGCATGAATCCTCACAATTTTTTCCATCGAGTTTTCACGATTATCTATCGCAGCTGATAGGGTCTTTAGCTTGACATCCTGTATCTTCACATATCTATTAAATGTTTGTTTTGAGTAGCGTTTACATGTCTTGGTGTCACCCAGCAGAATGTCACTGGTAAGCTCATCAATATTTCTCCAAGAATGTCCCCAAACTTTGTTCCACCCACCCCCGAAAAAAACTGTAAGAGAGAAGGTAGAGCTGTCTTTTTTCTTTGTAGGGTGTTATTTCCCAGATAGATTGCACGCAAAACATAGTACTCTTATATACATGCCATCTAGCTTAATTTCCTATCTGTAGTAAAAGCAGAACCCATGAATAAACTTATACCAAAGCTTTATTGCACTTTACTCTGACTACTCTTCTACTGACGGATTATACAGGTTGCTTTTTATACCTCCTAGATCTTAAGGGGAAGTAACTGATGATTTATCTATACGCTATCATTTTGTCAATGTCTACGCATCGAACATGACACGAACATAGCTTGGAAAAAGTCTCGTCTTATTTTATTCGGTAAACCAGATTACCAGTCGATGTAGAATCTGTCCATTTTAACCCAAATTTTACCAATGGATATACCCACACCCTTTTTTTAAATATCAGAAATATTACATCCAAAAAGTAAGAACCTATGGATCATTTTCTCATGTCTTGTCATTATTGTCATTATTTAAACGGAAATGTTTGTTTCCTTGATCTAAAAAGACATTCCTTCCTGGAATAACTGCATGTCAGCTCCATTAGCATCCTACAGAGAATCCATGTCATTTCAATACTTGACGACTGCATTTCCACTAGTTCACCGGAACTGGCTACGATTGATTTGACAGAAAACAATGTCATACATTTCAAAAGGACATTGTCCAAGTACTTTGGCTATTTGGGGCTCTCAGCTACCATTTAAAATTGTCGTTTTATGACAAATTCGATGTGAGGAGGTGTTTATTTGGTAGGAATTGTAGAAGACGGGACTGGATTCAGTATCATGGCTATTGGGGCGGGTGTTGAACGTTTCAAATCGTGGTTGAATCATCAGAAAATGTAGAGGACCCGAAGTTACGACAGAGACAAAGAATAATATGGAAAATTTGGAAAGAGGATTATTATCGAAATAGAAATAAATTGGCAATAGGTGGGAAGGAAAGCAGAAGAAAGAAAAAGAAAGAAAGAAAGAAAGAAAGAATCGCATTTAAGTAAAAGAAAAAATAAAAGAGAAAAAGAAAGAATGAAAGAAAGATTCATATTTAAGAGATAAGTAAAAGAAAGAAAGAAAGAAAGAAAGAAAGAAAGAAAGAAAGAAAGAAAGAAAGAAAATCGTATTTAAACCAAAAAATCTGTGATTCGCTCGATATCATTAACGACTTCAACAAAGAACAGTGTTGCAGATATATAAACACCCACACCCGAGAGTAGATGGACAGTCTCCGAGACATCGTACATGAGAATGTGGGGTTCGGATGAAAGCTCGGAGAAGTACTCACGCACACTTGCCGACACTAATTAACAAAATCCAGAGTGGAATAAAATAGAATGTTACGTATGACAAATTTAACCCAGTGTTCTCATTAAAAAATGATTAGCAGCTGATCTATATTCTGACCTCGTTCGCTCAGCCCAGTGGGGACAACGTCGGCTTGTAAGTTTCAATGTCTCAAAAGCCAAGCAAGAAACTGTTTGTCATCACTGAGCAAGCTTTGAATTTTCTCCATTTATGAAGGATGGTTGCTCTTTCCTTTGAGCGTCTATTTGGACTCAAGTTCATTCCCAGATCTAACGTGGAATTGATGTATACGATCGATCGCTACAAATGGTGGGGGAAATGGTCACTGTTGAAAGTACCTGACTCGCATGCTTTATCTTTACAAAAGACCAGACCAAAAATGGATATTTGCTGCCATATCCGGGCTGGAGCTACCCAATCCTCAATTTTCAGCCTAGGTAGATTTCAAAAGTACCTAAGACCTCGGCGATTAACAAATTTCTACTCTTGACCCTTTTTCCACAGACGCATTGTCACAAACCTTTTGCTGCTCTATCCATGAGAAGATTTTGACGAATTAGATTCATTAGTTCTGCCAGTTCTCAAGCTCACAACTAATGCCTGTGATTCCACAGACTCTTGCACGAATCAGCACTATTCTATTCATATTCCATTATGTTGTAAATTACGACAGGAGTGTGTTGAAGCGTTGACTGCTTTCCCACCGACTATGGGGTATTAGGCAGATAGGGGAAAGAAACGGAAGGTAACAACAATAACACTGCCTCGGAAACCACAGCAACTTTAGGAACAAACATACCCACGGAACCGACTTCACAAGGCCGACAAGACGGAGTTGGATTAAGACTGGCCGACACTAACTATCCTATACCTAGCTAATCATATTTACGACATATTCTTTCATTACACTTTATCCATTCACCACAAAAAACTTGCCCCTCATCATTCCCTCCTGTATATACCGCAATATCACAAGCTGACAGGGAACATACAATATCACTAGATACCATGGCTACGATTTATTACTGATTTTACACAGTAATTGTGGCAACAAGATACCGTGAATTGCCAACTGCTGGACCCACCACCACTGTATTTATTACCATGAGGCATCTTACAAAACCCCGGATCTTAGCCAATTGCAGAGAGACCCGGATCTAGTTCAACATGCCAAACTGTCCCACTGCCAACGGGAAAAAAAACGGATGTAACTGGTGTTGGCAAACATCCGCATGCGATCCGAGGCCCACTTTTGCATTCTCTACTGATACGCGTTCGCTAGACAAAGGGTGAAGTTACATTGTGATGGTTTATTCCCAAGATCTGCTGAGGCGTTGCTTCTCACGACAATCTCAACCTCTTCAAGTTTCGGTTCAACCGATGCCTATTCTACATATCTTCATAATCTGCATTTCTTACCTCCCCATAAAAAAAATCCTGGGTCAATAGTGATTAAGCTTTAAGCCTTAAAACAGTGACCTTCCTCTGAAATTTACTCATAACTACTTCTTGAATTTGAAGTCAATCATCTGATTAAACCATTTTTGTTTGACGTATAAATTAAAAACAAATAAATATTTGGTGCCAATTTGCCAGGAGGCACAATACTTCAAAGAAACTGAATTTCTAATAATTATCCAGAAGTTCATAATAAAGCTAGGCTTCTACGTCTCAAAAGTAACTTGCCTTTTGAGACGTAGAAGCCTAGCTTTATTATTTTATTATTCATTTCTTTTTCTTTTTTCTTTTTTTTTTTTTGTCAAGAGATGGTTGAATGTGTGTAAATTGAATTATCGCATGTTTACAGCGATATAATCACAAGAAAATATGCATGGGACACATTAAATAAAAAGAGGTGGAATTCAAAACAAACAGCTGTAAAAAGACAATGTATGGTTGTCACCAAAGACATCCCAAGATACGAACTACAAATTGGAGATGTCAAAATGAGGCCAGTACAGAAATTTAAATATTTAGGAACAGACGACGTGACAGGAAAGCAAGAAGCAGTGATGCATTTATTATACAGTTTAAGGAGAACAAGAGCCAGTTCGGGATCACACTTCTTAAGGATTATCACTGGGATACCATAAGGTCCACGTGCTTTGTGATGATCCAGATTAGAGATGATAGCAGAAACTAATAGGATGGGTTATATACATATCACTCAACAGATACTCAGTTCTAAGTCGGAAGTTAAGCAAGGATACTCCAGATGAGTCAAGCGTACAGTTTAAGAAGAATTTACGAGTGAAATATCCAGTTTATCAGCAGATGTTAACACCTCAAATTGATCCAAGAATACTTACTCTCATTTAATACAGTATTACAGAGACGTCAGTCTTCACGAAAGCCAAAGTTGTTAGATGCAATACGGTGCCTCATTCTATCGGTAAACAGAGACTTAGCTTTTTCGAGGACACGTTTACATTAATTATGTGCAACCGCGAATAGGCGACTGTTGTGATAGGAACTGAGACACTGGTATAGCTGGAAATAGTGGATATTGTGGGCTATAGTGGCAGAGCATGTTGGTATGAATCATGGAGAACATTGAGGTCTCGCCTGGTATTTCCGAGAGGAAATAAAAGCTTCTATACCGGCTTTGACCCAAGGCGAAACCCATCTGCGCAATTCTTAATGTGAAGGTTAATAATGTCAGTCAAGGCGGGGACATCTCGAAGTGAATCCCAATCAACAGAAAAGAGGTCTTATAAATAGGAGGTTCCTGTTTAATAGATTATTGGAGTTACGAAGAGGACAGTATTGTGAAGCCCGGCAAGATCTAGGAGAAGAAGTAAGGAACAAATAAGTATGATGTCCAGATTTATTAGGGAAACGAGTAAGGAAATCCACGACTTGGATAAGAGACTGAGCCATATAATCACAGGCAAATATGTATGGGGAACATTAAATAAGAAGAATTCAAAACCAACAATTGTAAGAAGAGGATGTATGGTTGTTAGCAAGAATGACATGAGAATCTACAAAATGGGGATGTCAAAAGGAAGTCCAAAAATTGAAATATCTGGGAACAGACGACTTGACATCGAATATCCGAAGGCATATTGGAACAGCGAAAGGTTATCTGCCCTAAGTTAGAAACAGTGGCTATGTAATACCGATTCTTCTATATATAGCGGAATGCTAAACAATTTCCACACAGATGAAGAAGAGACTTAAGTTAACAGATGCGATTCTACAGAAGGATACTGAGAATTTCATGAAAAGAGCATGTAAACAACAATGAAAATAAAAACAGAAAAGCACGCTTATAATTAAACTCAGAAAGAAATAGTTTAATCTGTTAGGACGCATAATAAGGAAAGATGGCTTGGAAAATATGTCGATCACGGGACAAAACAAATGAGGCATGTGAAGACATTAATTAATCTACCAGACAAGTTTGTGTCTATGTATGTCAGATCAGAGAGTGGGAAGGAGAGTTTAAAAGCAATTATTGCTAAGAGATATAAAGGACACATGTGGCGATACATTAACACCTTATATCCTAAAGGGAGATAGTATGTAAAGGTGAACAGTTTGGGAATTAACTCTTTCAAAAGATCTTGTCTACATGTGAATAATCTGTGTGATGATTGCTATATCTTTCCGGTATTTCGGAAACTATTGTCATCATTTCTTAGTGGACCGGTTGTTTTATTGCGTTAATCTCCACAGCTGTCTTCAAGCCAATAAACCAAAGTTGCACAGTCGATGTTTGTTACTGAAAATCAAATCAGCCATCTTTTTACCAGGAGAAAGTGAAATCTTCATGTCTGGCTCTTTCCATAGCTGATCTGAACTTCCTAACATAAACATTTTTATCATGCAAAACTCTTAAAGAGTCAATATAAAAATTCAAACTTTTAGTTTATTAAACATATTTCTTCTGCTCTGTGCTTGTTCTTAGTAGTCCTCTATGAAATAGATTTGAAGAAATCGGTGTGGCTCATTATATAATAGTAGATGGGAATCAATCCTGTGGTGAACCTGGCCCTAAACTCTGAAAGTTGATCTCCATCCTGGAAGTGTTGCATCTTTTTCTCTAAATGAGGTCATAGCAAAGTAATTATTGTAGGTCCTAATGAGCTGACGAAAATCTCTTGATTCTTGAAAAATCCCATTCAGGAGAGAGAAGTGTGTCCCAGGAGGTATTGGAAGTTCTGCTAGTTGAATCTTTCCTTTCTTACAACACATTATCAGATTCATCCTTGAATCTTATAACGTTACAGTAATGGCACTGGATATCTATTGGTCCAAGGAACACCTTTTGATAATTTGCATAATCACTATTGCAATTGTACTGGAATACAGCTATGTGGAAGTTAACAAAAGTTATATGTTGTAAACTGGTATATCTTGGTGAATCTAAACCAAGCCTGTTGCTGTCTTGTAATGAAGTTTCAGCAGCACATGATGCTCTCATCCTGGGATCATGAAGGGATTTTTTTTGGAGGGGGGGATCTTGCTGAACACTTTAATTACTGAGGATTAACAGAAATAATATTTTCAATTGTTTCCACCATTGGAGAAAGCAAACAGAAAAAGTAATTAACAGCGGTACACTTTTGTGTTGTATATATTTTGTTTAAATAATAAACAGATGGTTACAGATAGTTTGTTTCATATTTAAAATATACAAAATTTATATAAAAAGTAAAAATAAATTTGTTTATAATTTTCGTTTAAAAAGGTCGAAAGATTTTAATATGTCCAAAATTAAATTGCATCTTGTTAAAAAATTAAACATTAACTTGATATTGTAAAATATTGTAGTAATAACCTTCTAATATTTTATTTTGGTTACATTTGCTACCGAAAAACCTACAGGTATTTGAAAAAAAGGAAAATGTAAAT